ACAAGACCAGAAGTGTTTGGTTAGCAGCAGGGAGGAAATCAATAACTCCCAGCATTTGGCAGCTTTGTGGGCAGGAAATAATTTGTATTCTCTGGTTTAAATCAATGACCTTCTTTTCTTTGCTGTTCCAACAGGAAATTATAAACTCTGTGAACACTATTTGCATAGTGCCTTCTGAAATACACTTGTATATGTCTGGGAAAAACAGTATGTTAACCCTAGCAGTGCTCCTCTGAGCTCCCCATTAAAAAAACCCTGGCACAGAGCTTTTCAGCAGGCACTTGTATTTATTAGAAGCAGAAATAGCCTAAAGAAAGATGTGAAAAGAGCTCCTCTGCTTCCAACAGCACCACCCTATTTGATAACAGCATTGTCTATTGCAGAGTATGACAAAATGCCTTCTTTGGAACTTGGCAAAATGTTGCATTTTCAGACAGAAACCTGTTACTTCTACATTAAAGCTGCATTTGCACCTCTGTATCTTGCTTGTCAGGGTTACCTTAATGTGCCAGGTGTGATTTCAAAGTGCTGCAATTTTTCTTGAATTCAGCATTACAAAGTACATGCTTTTGAAAGTTTCAGCCTCCTGGTGCTCTCCTTTTGCAATGTTCAGTTAAGGAAGAAAAAGAAATAGCTCCATTGTCTTGCCTGCTCATGGGAAGCCGTACCAGGAAGGTGATGATCCAAGAAAAGGATGCAGTGTTTAACCTGGCACTGAACTTGCCTTTTAACTTTTTCAGCTGCCCTACACTGCAATAAGTTCAGCTCAGATATTTTTTAACATGTAGGAGAGCTGCCATTCAAGAAGACAAGCTAGTCACAGGAGATGGGGGAGGTGTGTGACCCTTTTTACTGTGTGAACAGTGTGAACACAGTGCAGCCCCAAAGTCTGGGATTCTTGACTAGGGCCAGAGCTAAGTGCTGCAGCACCAGCAACTGGCACTGTAAAGGTCCTGGACCTAAGCACCCCTTGATGTGCTTAGCTTCATTCTGTGCAGGAGAATGATATGGTAAATCAGTCTGGAGAACGTGATTATAGTCCCAGAAACCTCCAAGATCTCAGCTGTCTGCACGGAAATTAAATGTCATAAAATTCAGGCATCCAGATTTCTCTGCTTTGCTTTTGTACATGACAAGTCCTTTCACAGTCATTTTCAGCATTCCTTCTGTGCTCCAAAAGCCCCTGGCACAAATCTGTAGTCATCAGGTGACACTTGATGTATATTTATTAGTTACATCACAGTCCCCTGTCTGAAACAAAATGGATGGGAATGTTTCTCAGAGTGAATGAAGTGGAAGTAATACGCAATTCTTGCTCTCCTGCTTTGTTTCTATTGATTTGCCAGATATAAAATTGCCTATCCCTACCCTACAAGCATTCCACTCCTTCCCACTGCAAACTCTACGTGCTTCTTGGGGTCTCTTCCAGATCTCCTGGCTGCTGGAGTGCCCTTTGCATTTCTGAAATTTGCTGCTGCTGATTGAAGGGAGTCAACTAAGAAAATGAGTTGCCTCCCTTTCCAACTGACTAGAGACCAAAGCAGCATCACAGTATCACAGCAGGGCTGAGATCAGAAGGGATCTCTGGAGGTCACTTTGTCCAGTACCCTTGCTCAAAGGTGGTTGCCTACAGATGGTTGTCTAGGATGGTGTCCAGACAGCTTTTGAGGATCTCCAAGGATGGAGACTCCACAACCTCTCTGGGCAACCTGTGGTAGCTCCTTGTCAACCTCCCAGTGAAAAACCATTTCCTAATGTTCAGACTGCATCTCCTGTGTTTCAGCTTATGCCCATCACCTCTGGTCCCATCCCTGGGTATTGCTGGAAAGAACCTGGCTCCATATTCTTCACATATTGACATACACTGATGAGATCCTGCTTTCACCTCTTCTACTCTGAATAATTCTAGAAATCAGATCGATAAATCACAGGATAAACTGGGTAGGTATTGCTCAATTTACTTTCTTCTACTACGAAGGTCATAAGCCTCCTTTCTTTTCCTGTTGTTTTCCCACTTTCCTTTTTTTTCCCCATGCATACATATTCTAAATGTCATGCTGTTACCTTTTTCCATTGAATACTATGTACCTGGAATCTTTTTATATCACAAGAAGAAATGTTTATTCTGGAAGGGCATGCAAATAGAATAGCTCATGTGAGAAATATGAACTGGTTTTGTTAGTTTTAGGCATTGGACTGATTTATGACCAATTTATGCTTCCATGTGAATAAAACATAATCAGAAACTGAGGAGTGATACTACTGTGTATACAAAGAGGAGAACTGCTTCTATTACTCATGGGAATGCATAAGACATAATCTAATTTTTAGAGGTTGTGAAAGGTGTGCTAAGTGACTAATTCATTTCACTAATATCTGACAAGCCACTTTCATAATGGGAAAAATTATCTCCCTAGACAATTTGGTTTTTAACAACTTATCATAGTTGTTATTCTCCTAAGGGTGCACATTTTCCATTATGCAAAAAAATGGCATGGAATGAAAATGCTGATACACTAAAAACATGCATTTAGCTTCAAAACAGAAGTTTGTGGGTTATTGTTTTTTTAATACGTATAAGCTATGCTCTTTGAGATATTTATTCAGAAGAGAACCATGTATTTAATGTGGCTTCTGTTTACAAAAAGGAGAATATATTTTCTGGGGAAAATAAACTAGATTACACTGCAGGAAAAGGTTTGATGTTGCAATGTTCAAGAGCGCTCAGATGGAAATTCAGCTCCAGAACCTGGTACTGAATTTAGGACATGGATTTTCCAGTTGTCTCAGTTTTTGCATTGCACTTAGATGTACTGTTGTAGTCATACTGAATTGAATGGGATTTCCTGTAGAAGCAAAAAGCAAGATTTTATCTCTTTCGAGTTTAAAATCAGGTAACAACCTTGCTGACTTCAGCAGAATAGTTCTTGATTTATACCACTATAAACAGGGGCAAATTAGGAATGTATCTCAAAGTGACAGTGTTCAGATGTATATTTAATCTTTGTTAAATTAAGCATTTGCAATAAAATGCACTATTCACTGCTCTTACTGTTCTCTCAATACATGCATTGTGAAACTCTTTAATGGTAGTTTCAAAAATATTTTTAAATGTAGTAACAAGGACCCACAGTATCGAAAATGTTACTCTCCTCATGTGATGTCTCTTCAGTATAAACCCAGTGTTGGCCATTCCTTTCTAACAGGCCACTCTCTTCCACCCAAGACAAGCAGCTAGGGGAGCAAATGGCTGAAAAGGCTTGGAAGCTCCTATATGCATGGGATTTTCCCCTGGGCATGTTTTGTCTGAGTTGCTTTATGATGCAGAAGTCTTACTGGAAGAAAGAACTGGCCCTACAAGGTCTGGATACTTTACTGGGAGATGAATACTAGTTAGCATACATAATATCCATTACTGGTGGCGAAAGTAAGAAGAAATTAGCCAGTCATTTTGAGCTTATGCAACAAGCTGCACTCCTCTGACTGTGTTTTTTTCCAAAATTTGCTTGTTAACTATGATGCAGTATGTGCCATTTGTGCTTTAGGGGACTAAGAGTCTAAGTCAGTTTATTGGTGAAAGAAACAACTTTCTCATTAGATGTTAATGGCAATGTTTTGATTAGTCCCAGGGTTCTGGAAAGGAGTTAAGTCCTTCCTTCAATAACCAGCAGTTACAGATGCAGCAAGTGTTAATAACCTCATAGGAAGCAAACTAGGCAGGCATACATTCCATCACCCAGAAAATGGATCTCATGAAGCTTTTTGAGGGACTGCTCACACTTTAAACCAAAAAAGTATTTGATTTTTAATATGAAGATTTACGCTGTTTGCAGCAGCTAAATCTGCAGTTCCATCATGTTGTTTCCCATTTCTCTCAGTCCTGATGTTTAATGTGCTCCCTGCTACACAATTAAAGCTTAAAATGTCATCTGGTTGAGGAGTGGAGGTGAAGAAATTCAAACAGAAGCAGCAACTGTTCTCACACTTTTAGCAACTGTGCTCAGATGTCAAAAGAATAAACACGCAAAATCATGAAAGATTTGAATAGCTTCATATCTGACATGAGCTTTTAAAGCCACAAATGGACTTTTACAGGGAAACAAGAATATGCATGTGGGTTATGTGGGAACGGAAAAGGGCTTCATATGTGAGTGTGGCATGAGAGTTTTATCAAATGTTGGCCTAAAGGCTAACTGGAGCCTGGATTTCGTCTCTATGCCAAATGAGAGCAGCCAGCTGTTCTGCTCCTCCTACCCCATCACTGCTGCATCAAATCTTAGCTGGGGGAAACTTTCTGTTAAATTGAGTGCAGCAAATGACAAGGAAAACCCAAACTGATGATTTGGAATGGTTTCTCTTTAGGCATACAGTAACCTTAAGAGATACTTTAGGGACACTTAGGGATACCCTTCATCCCAGATGAAGGGATGGGTTAGGTGTTTTTTTTAAAGGTTACTTTTGGAAGGTTTCTTAAGGTATACAGTAACCTTTCTGAAGACTGTGTTCTTAGGAATAGCCTTTCATGGGTAACAAGTCTGATCCTTGGGTTTTTTACCTCAGTAAAAAAAAGGTAGACTGAATAAAACCACTTATTCTCATAAGTAATCAGCTTAGATGTCAGCTACACTTTGCATTTTAGAAAATAAACTGAAACTGCACAAAAAAATCTGGAACCTTTGTCATGGCCAAGAAGCGTATCTGTTTTTTGCAGTGGACAAGGCTTTTCCTGTGGATCTACTGCAGTCTTCCAGCCTCAGCACTGCTGTTAACTCAGGAAGCTCTTGAAATGCAGCCTGACTTCAGCACAGCACTAGGTTGTACTGACAAAACATCATTTACTGTAGTTTTAGCACAATAGGGAGAGAGATCAGGCAATATTAGTGACCTCTGCACATCATTGTGCTCTAATGATTTTTTCCCTGGCTTCATTTCAAACGGTTGCATGATAGCCTGATAACCATATTTTAAACTTGGTCATGCTTGATGCGGGTTTGACTTACCTTATTTGGATTGAAGGTCAGTATCTATGGCTTGATTTTCAGGCAGCTGAGGAAGCAGGGAGTGCTACCTGAGTCCTGCAAAGCACTCAGTGTTAACAACAGGCCTTTTGGTGCCACTCCTCTAAACCTTTAAAACTTGAAGATTGCTATCACTCAGCCTCAAACTGGCTAAAAAGCCCTCCTTACAGCTCTTATCCAGACTCCACCTAAAACAAAAGAGAAAATGCAGGAGTGGGTATGTATCAGAGATGGGAAGAATATTCAAACATTCCTAAGGACTCAACATGGTCACTCAACCTCCCATTCCAAGACATCTAGCACTGTCAGTCCTACTGTCTTAGTTTTCCTTATAACCAGTTTATTGTAGAGAAGTTGGTACATGATAGTTTTGACACGACAGCAGTGTCATCAAAAACACTAAGGATCTCCTGCAGCCTTCTCAAGCCTTACTCATAAAAACCTTATGAAAATAACCACACACTCTTCTGCATGAAACCATGCCTGCTGGCTGCCTGAATGGTGCTAACAGTATTCATAAAAAGGAGGTAACAAACCATGTATGTCAGCCCTATAACTAAATATAATTTTCGTAACAGACATTCTTCCTATACAGTTCTTCCTCTGTTTGCAATGATGAATAAATCCACAATAGTCCATGAGCTGGGACTTCTTGTTTGGCAGTTTATCCAACTTTTATGAACTAAGCTACCTGAAAATGGCACTTCTAATGACACTTTTTATGTATCAGTCTCTGCACATGCAGTATTTTGCTCTATAATTACCAGGAGGAACAAAGCAGAGGAACCAGTGATTTTTAAGGTTTCAGTCTACAAACAAGACCTTAAAATTTGTAAGCTGTATAGAATAAGAACACTTGATACACTCCAGATCTGGGCCTTTTGGAGCCTCCAAGGCTGCCACAGAACATAGTTCCCTGCAGCCTTTCCCCTGCAGAGAAGATCTAGATGTTCTCCAATATCCAGCCACATGCTGCCACAAAATTTTAATATTTTCATTATCTCAAAGACCCTGTGTGTCTCTGTCAGATCTCTTATAACAGAGAGGGAGGTTGCCAGATTTTATGTATACAAATGCGGATATGCGCAGAACACGTTGAGAACAGTCATTTATGTAAGAAACTACGCTGATATTTGAGCAAGTCAGTCAATAAAAAGTTGGGCAATTCTCAAGACAGCTGTTAAAAAGCTTGATAAACATCAGTGAAGTCTATGAATGGGACTGAGCACTTGCAACAGCACTGTGTACCATGGCATCCCAACATCAGTCTCTTGAGTACTGCCAGCCTGCATGGGTTAATCTTAGAGTATCACCAAGAACAGCCTCAACAGAAATGAGAATTTCATTCAGTGGTCACTCAGCCTTACTTAAAAGGACACTTTCCAATTAAACTTCAATGACATCTTCTGAAAAGAAGTTTTACACCTACTATATTTCTTTTGGACAAAACAGTCTGTTCAGCTGTATTCCCAGCTGTAAACTCTGCTTCTCCCAGCTTGCTGGCATCCACAGCTATTTAGAAAGAACCTTTGTTATGTCAACTGCTAGGATTTTCTGCAGTACATATTACATCACCTTTCCTGAGAAACTTGTCTGAGCAGATCCCTTTTCTTACTTTCTTGTTTCATAATGTCCTTCACATTCCTCTTCCAATATTTGTTGTTCTCTCTCAGTTGCTGGCATTTTAAGGAAAGGTTACATAGCAAAAGGGTCACTAACAGAGCTTTTTTCTCCCTGCCCCATACTCCTGGAGAGAAGCTTTCTCTGTGTGGCACCTTTAGAGAAAGTTTTCCTTAAGAAAAATCTACAGCACTCTCTGCCAGTTTCAGAACAAGAAAATAAATTTGGAGCATAGATTACCTTGGCCATTTTAATTCTAAAGTGAAGAAGTAAGGAAAAAAAAGAGACAAAACCAAACAAGGACCAAATTATGCTGTAGTGCATGTAAAAAGCCAGATCCCTTAATTTCATCCTCATCCCTAATATTTGGGTGACTATGCCTCTGATCAATCTCTTGTGCCTCTCCTTACTTCTTGTTCAGTCTTGGTCCTTATGAAACAGCCTTGGAAATCAACAGTCATAAATCTTTCAAAATGCACTCTACATAAAGATGTACCAATGGAAGTGTGGTCTGGAGACAGCTGAAGATGTTGGGAGCCTAGTCAATTCAGGTCCAAAGCCTTCAAAGTAGGCAAGGTAAAAATGAAGTGTGTTACATCTGGGAACAGTATTTGGAATAAGCTGGGAATGAAGCACAGGGAAAAAGAAAAGGCAGACATTTCTAACCTCAGGTGTATAAATTTGGGTGGCTTAATACACAGGCTCACATCCACATGTGAGATGGCACAGGGGCTGGCTGCTTGCTGTTTATTGATGCAGGCTCTTGCACAGTCCCTCCTTGCAGCATGGGGTGTGTGTAGGGGACACGTACAGCCTGTCGTAGGGCTTCAGCTCAAAAACATGGTAAGGATGCTTATTTTGGCTACTGCTAGGTGGCTGAACATGAAGTTGGAAGGTATCTTTTATCCAAATGCAGCTCTTTCTTCTAAAAACAGTGGCTCCCACATGATCTTCTTGAATAGTTTTTCTATATAAACAATGGAGAAGGAAATCTAATTTCCAGTCTAGGAAGGGAAACACAGCTAAGTGAACACTGTTAGCAAGGGCAAGCATATTATCTCTGCCTGTTTGAAAACCCACTGAGTTGAACAAAACCTTTTCATTAGCTGCAGTAGTCTTTATTACACTCCATTTGAATGATCTGTTTAGGATTAAACATTTCTTGAAAGACACACTTTTAATACCAAAGCATTTTTCATTCCATTTGCTTCATTTTAGCAAAATGCTGAATGATCTGTGTCATGTTTAACACAAAGTGTAACTGAAGCACCCAACATCCTGCAGAAGTGCTTTCTGGACTTGTGTTTTTTAAGAGATCTCTGAAAAATCAACATTAAAAAACACAAGCAAGCAATTTTGAACAAGCAGGCATAAATTTAGTAGAAATAAGCCCTCATCTTTACTGGAAAATCTTTAAAGAGGTCATAAAAACCAAAACAAACAAAACCATTCAAAACCACTGTGCTTCAACAGCAAAATCATTTTAAATTCAGATTAATCCTTTTAGGATCAGGGGTCCAGACAGATAACTAAAGCAATGGATAACAAAACAGCCAAGCATTGGCATCCAGTTAATGTATCAGTATATGGATGATGGTATATAAACAATGCTAAAAAAAGAGGAAAATTATTAAAGCAGAAGACAATACTTCATTTACTGTTCTGCTGGAATTACTGCTTAGGAAGTCACTAATACACATTCATTATGAATACCAGAAGTGAGCACAGGCAGAAACTTGCCTGTTACCCAAATGAGTATGACTAGTGCTTAATGAGATTTTTACTAATCTTTCTTAAAGCCTGAACTTCACTTCCAGAAAGGCAAGATTATTTGAGAGTTTCCATTTTTTCAATTAAATGCAGAATCAGACACATGGAGTTCTTCAAAGGGGTCTTTGGGTTTTGGTTTCTCCTGAGCAAAATGAGTATCAGAGTAACAAAGCCCAAAGAACTTGCTTCAAACTGGGTTAGCTAACCTCCCAGTTCTGTGATGCTTTGGTAATTTTATTCTCTTTTCTGGAAGAAAGAAAAGAAGAGGGAAAAGAAAACCAAAACAAGGAAAACTAGTCCAAAGCAGAATTCTGCTCTTGTTCTGGTTGATCTGTTTAGGATTTTGTTACTGGCTCCTGCTAGACCAGAAAAGACTTGTGCGCATGAAAAACAGCACCTCTCCCATGGTAGAGTGGGAACCCCATGCCCCTTTTTACAGAAATTACTCACAAGACTACAAGTGCTTTCCCACTTTTCCTGTCTTAGGAGTCTCAGGTGAAGAGACAGCTGCCTCATGCCAACCTATTGTGAAACATTGGATATGAGGTGTGTCTTCCAAAAGGTCTGAATCAGGATTGCAATGCCCAAGTCAGATGCCTAGAGTAGGGAGGCAGTCTCAATCCAGACTACCTTTTCTCCTTCCTGAAATGCTGAAGTTGCTGATTTTCCCAACTTGCCCTTTCAGTTGCTAAGGATTTATGTTAGAAGGAGGTGATACAGCAACTTAGGTTTTACAGCACAAAAAAATGCTGCAATGAGAGATTCAGCTAATGGTACTGAGGAGCACTTCTGTCACATACAGAAGCCCTGTGCAGGATGGGCTGCTGTCACAGGTAAATCCAGCTGGCTTAGTAACAGACTGGAAGCTGTGGCTTCTACACAGAAAAGGTCGACTCATGGCAAATCAAGGGATGTGACATAGGAAGGGAACTTCCCCTTCCATTTTTACCCCTTCCTCTCTTCATACTTTATTTCTTGTCCTCCCACTCTTGCAAAAATCCAAAATGGTCACATTATAGCTAATGACGATGCCAAAGATTTGTCTCCTCTCTCTCTGTATGAGTTAATCATTTACAGCAAGCTTTCTGGGGTGATGAATCAGTAACACAAAGAAAGGACAGATTAGATGTGATATTTATTTTCCTCTTCTTTTTTTTAAGCCTGGCTGTCCCCACTGCCTGAAAGAATGGAGAAAAAGGTAATCAAATGCACTGTAGCTGAAAGCTGTAAGGGTAACACCTCCAAAGTCTGCAGCTTTTCATAAAAACTTTGCAGTTTTTGTATTCTTTTTGCTGTATGTTTACTCAGCAACACTGTTTTAGAAGTTGCAACATTCATCTTTAAACATTAATTACCAAGGCATGATTGCTTCAAAAATCCACTGCCCGAGGCCAGGGCCTAGGAAGTGGAAAATGTAATTTCAGAAAGTGATGAGAACAAATGCTGAGCCTTTTAATTGCAGGTTGGTACAAATGACTAACAGTAAAGCAAAGCTCATTTTGGACAAATTTGTTGTTCTACATGTCAAATTCAAAACTTAGCAGTGAGTTGCCTGGGGTTTGTTCTTTCCCCGTACTCTCTTTGTAAAAGTCAGAGAAACATTAATTTTTGAGAGGTACAGGGAGTACTTTTCTAAAAATTTGGTTAAAATTATTTACAAGGGAGAGAGAAAGAGAGGAAGAAAGCAAGGAAGAAAAGAAGGAAGAAGAGAAAGACTACATGATGCATGCAAAGTCAGGCAATAGTTGCAACAGTCATTGGACAACTGCTGTGCTCTTTTGGAGTTTCATTTCAGGGT